TCTGAGCAGAGGTCCACCGAGAGGTTCTAGGGGCACGGCCTCTGAGCAGAGGTCCACCGAGAGGTTCTAGGGGCACGGCCTCTGAGCGGAGGTCCACCGACAAGTTCTGAGGGCACGGCCTCTAAGCGGAGGTCCACCGAGAGGTTCTAGGGGCACAGCCTCTGAGCGGAGATCCACCGAGAGGTCCTGTGGGCACGGCCTCTGAGTGGAGGTCCACCGACAAGTTCTGAGGGCATAGCCTCTGAGCGGAGGTCCACCGACAAGTTCTGAGGGCACGGCCTCTGAGCGGAGGTCCACCGAGAGGTCCTGTGGGCACGGCCTCTGAGCAGAGGTCCACCGAGAGGTTCTAGGGGCACAGCCTCTGAGCGGAGGTCCACCGAGAGGTTCTAGGGGCACGGCCTCTGAGCGGAGGTCCACCGAGAGGTTCTAGGGGCACGGCCTCTGAACAGAGGTCCACCTAGAAGTCTTGAGGGCACAGAAGATGGTCAATTTTCATTTTGATTTCTCCGTGTTCGTCCACGACACGGCGTTTCCACTCAGATTGCAAATGAAATGCAGCGATGATCTCACTTCCGTCAGCTGCTATGGCACATTTAGACCCACACTTTAAGAAGCGACGTCGTAAGGAAAGGATATAAATAGAACGTATACGTACCTACGTACATACACACACACATATGTGTAAGCACACACATATATTTCACGTTTTCCAGCCAGGGTTTAGAAAAACCGAAAAGGAAAAGAAAGGAACACAGAGAGGATTTAGTTTTGTCTTGGAAAAGGACGTGTTTTACATTTACGAGCATACGTGTAAGTACGTATACGTACGCAGGCACACATACACGTGCACGCACGAGCACTGTCACGCAAGGGTGTGTCCTGGCCGTACGTGACTCTTGCATGACTACTGCGAGGCCACGACACCGTACGGTCACCCCCATAGGGTGTAGGATCATGTAAATGAGCGTTTCGGTCCCTGTCATAGGCTGCGTCTGCTGGGCGGTCTCTCAGCTGGGACGTGGCTTGTCAGCACGGGTCCGCCATGCCGAGGCCACGTGGGATAGAAGGTCGAGTTCACGGGCTGGAAGGACCGGTCATGTGGCGATCTCCTGGGTGCCGGGGTTCAGCTGAGCGGGCGCTGTGTGGCCGGGAGGCAGGGCGGGCCGCTCACGCGTAGGGCGGCAAACCGAACAGCTCGGGCTGGAAGTCCTCCAGGGAATCCAGCACCAGGGTGGCCTTGGACGTCAGGCGTCGGTGCAGGTTCCGATCTGGAACCATGACCACCTGCATGCCGGCTGCGAGGGCCGCCTCCACGCCGTTGGGAGCGTCTTCAAACACGAGGCACTGTGGGGTAGGAAGAGAGACAAGGTTGAGACGGCCTTTCCCGTAACCAGGCAGCTAGACTAGGTTTTCACGATTTTTACGATGGACGTGCTTGCCGGCGCTGCCGCGGTGCACACGGACACAGAGACGAAGTCGTACACACCGTCCCGCAGGCTTCCCGCAGTCCCGACGGTACAGGGGACAGCGTTCCGTCACTGCCGACAAGGCGCTCGTGACACATGGTGTAGCTGGGTGGCAAGACGGGATGCTAGCTTTGTGTTCTCTTGGAATCGTACAAATCTGTGTCATCAATAATGGGACAATCAGAGCACAAGAGTCAAGTGTGTGGGGGGGGGAGCACGTGTTTTAAACATGAAGTCAGTCCAGACCTCAGGCGTTTTAGGAACCGCAGTGTGGAAAGTGAGTGGTTAAGGTCTGAGCGAAAGCCTGGTCTGTGTGTGCACAAGGTGACTACCTCCAGCACCGAGACCAGCTCCCAGGAGCGCGATCTCCTTCGGCTTACCACGCAAACCCACCCTATTAAACCCCAGACACTGCCACCCCGTCAGACACCCACATCTACAAGGGGGATTCTGGGCACTGTGTTTATCAGGCAGCTCCGAAACGTGCCATACTGGGAATAATGCTCTGAGACTCTGAAATCGAAAGAGCCCAAGTCTGTGCGTGCGTAGATGAGCCCGTTGTCCTCCGTCACTCGGCATTCAGGGCAGACAGGCACCCAGCAAGTTCCCTCCGTGTCTGGAAACAGCCTCATTGATTCTGTCCGTGAGGATTCTTCTCTGTAGGGACCCGACATGCGTAACGGGGCTGTGATCACGGCTGGGAGGAGCTTGCCTGTTGTTCCCCTACTGTCCACAGGTGACCCCCAGCTGCCAGGAGATGCCCAGGTCACACCTTTCCACCTTCCCGAGCCCTGTCCCCCTCCTTTCATCACGAGAACTCTGTCACGGGTGGGCAGTGGCACCGCACTGTGCCAGTGACCCAGCGAGGGTCACGGACGCTGCTCGGGGTGCGGTGCGGCACGGCAAGTTCTGTCTGCCCTGGGGCCTGCGGGTCACTGGCAAACGCATACACGTTCACACTCACTCACACGTGCACACATCAGACTCGCACAGTGAAGAAGCTGGCACTCAGGTACACGTGAGCACACTCAGACACCTGCACACACACACGTTCACATACACACACACAGAAACGGGCACTCAGGCACACGTGTAGCACACACACTCACACAAAAGTGCACACTCACGACACTCGTGGACGTTCAAACACAGACAGAGCAATGTTCTTTCCTGGTGGAGTGGTCGGGAGCAGAACACGGACCCTTTCCTTTTCTCTTCCCCCCTTTCCTTCTGCCTGGGCTACGAGAGGTGAGCCCCCTTCCCTGTGAGGCCGAGGTGAGGGCCGCACGCATCGCAGGGACAGCTCGGGAGCAGTGACAGGCTATGTTCACAATGGGGGCCGGTCTGCCCTGGGAGTGGGCCTCTGAGCTCTGAAAACAAGGCAGATTCGGAGAAACAGTGCGCTCTGTCCCTCTGCCTTCGTTCTGAGAACTTACGCAGGCGCGCGGGCTCTTTTGCAAGCTGTGGGCGTCCACCCAGAGGCAATGGTGTCCATGGAGTCGCACTGAGTCTTCTTAGAACGGGCACCTTCCCTCTTCTTCTGGCCTCAGACACGCGTTCTTAGGGGCACTTGCAGGCTCGCGTCTTTCCACGAGAGCCCACACCGCACTCTCCGTGTCCTCCACTGCCGCATGTGGGACCACGAGGGGCACTTACACGTCCAGGGGCTCCGGGGAGTGGACGGACGCCCCACGTTCCAGGAGGGTCTGGCGCTTTGCGCAGGCCACCAGGAAAGGTCAGCGGGAAGAGAGGAAGACGGTTTGTCCGTCCGTCCGTCTGGGCAACGGTGCTCGGCAGAAGTCATGAAAAGCAGCTTTTGTTTTCTTTGTGCGGCTCCTGCCAAGGGCCATGGGAGGGAGACCTGCAGCCTCAGAAACCGGGACAGTCACCGAAACGAGGGCCCGGAACTCGGCGGAGGACGTGCGCAGCGGAGCGCTCCTTGCGGACGCGCTGGCCGCATCCCAGCACGGGCCGCGAGGGACGGAGAGGGATGAGCAGAACCCCGCGGGCATTGAGGGCCGCGGCGTAGAGCACCGGCATCCCTCTCCGGAGGTCGGCCGTCCCCTCACATGCGCTCATCGAGCCGGTTTGGTTCCCATTAGCGACGCGTCCGCACCAGCGGCCGACGGGACCGCGCACACGCGCCCTGGGATGGACCCGTGAGGGCTGCGATGCGCACGGAGCGCGCGGAGCCGTCGAGGCACGGGGAAGAGCGGGAGGGCGGGGAGCCGCAGCAGCGCGGAGGTGGCGGAACAGGCCGCGCCACGGGCAGCCACACGATCAGTCATAGCGTAGTAGCGCATCTCCCTACGGAAACCCGACAGCCAATGTCGGAAAAGTGCCGACACGGCTCTGTTCATCGCAGTACTCGACGGTCATGAAGCCAATGAAAGACAGAAGCCAGGACAGCACAGCTCGGCTCCCGCATACACGGCAGGAAGAAGGGTTCTAGTCAAAGACGCAAGCGTCTCCGTGTGGTTTCTGCCCGCCGCGCCCGGCTCACGGAAAGGGAGTCTCACCCCGCTGTGCTCCGCGTCCTTCTGTGAAGGTCTCTGCGTTCCCCGAGCTCTGACCTAATCCTTCCCACCCTGCGCTCACGCATGACACCAGATCATAAATCCCTCCACACCCACCTGCAAAATGTGAACTATTTACATGAGGAACTATTTACCTTGCAGGAAGGAGGACTGGGGCAGCAGACACCTTGGTCCCTCCCTGACCCTGCGTCCCGGCCCTTTGCCATGAGATTCATGTGTGCACCTGTGTGGACGTGTGTGGGGCGCGCTCTGATTAACGTGTGATTTTTGGTAGCGTGCCACAGGCGGTGGGTTCTCCAGGACATGCTCCCACGACCTCGAGGAAGCTGCTGAACAGGGGGAACACCGTCCTCTGGCCCATGTGCACAGGACAGAGACGGCCCCTGGCCGTGAGGTGGGGGTTGAAGCGTCCTGGCTTCTCGGGGCGTCCCGGCCGACAGTGAGCATCTGCTGACCTCCGGCTGATTCAGCAGAGACGCTGGAGCCGTCCCGGCCCAGGACACAGCGCGACCAAGGGGCTGCAGGGCTGGAGCCCAGCGGGTGACCCGGCCCTGTCCGTGTCACAGGGAAGGGCTCCGGGCCACGGCAAGTTCGGGAGGAAGCGGGCATTCACACGGGCACGCAGGTGGCAGAACGTAGGACCCGAGCCTGGGTCTGCACGATGTCACGTTCTTGTCACAGTGCACGCTGACGGCGAAAGTAAATCCGAATTGCGTCTCCACAGCTCATCCCCGAGATGGGCTTAATTCCAGGGTAGCCCGAGGGGCTGGATTCACAAAGAGGGACACCTGCAAGGATCCAGGAGACAAAGTGTTTCAGGGGCTCCCGGCCCAGACGTGCCGAAAGCACTCGTCTGCACACGCGTACGCGAAGCAGAGCCCGGTCCGCGGCGTCCGTGCGCGTCTCCTCGCCACCTGTCCGCAGCGGCAGCCGGGGCCTCCCCGGGTCCTCGCACTTGAATCCTTGAAAGACAGACACCGTCTGACGACGACGTGCCATCATGGGACACACCAGTCCGGCGTGAGACGCTCTTGTGTGACCTTGGTGGGAGGCACAGAAATGCGTGGGATTCTGCAAATACTTCAGCAAAAGGCAGTCTGATGGTGGAGGCGTGGGACAGGAAGCAAAGGTCGTTCCAACCTTTCTGACCCGGGGCGCGGGGGCCACTGTCTCAGTGGAAGGCAGCTTGGTTTTGTGACAGGTTCAGCAGAGAAGGAGGCTGTGTGGCCAGGTGCCCAGCCACGACGGCGATGAGTGACGGGGAGAGCGGGCAGGGCCGTGGCAGCCCTCGGCTTCTGTATGGTAAGCTCAGGAGCCAGGAGGAACAGGAGCAGTGCTAGGAGACTGTGATCTGGAGGGAGGGACAGCCACCCAGCGGTGTCCTGTCCATCTTCCCCTCTGCTCTGACGCCAGGGTCATGCTTCCTGCTGGGCCCCCACACTGTGCCTTTGGGTCACGAGGGAGTCTGTGTCCCCACTGTGCCCTCTGGTCATGTGTCCTCACCAGCTCAGGTCAGCAGAGTGAGGACAGGCTGGCGGGGGCCCCAGAGGGAGGGGACTGACTGGACGAGGGCCGGTCTTCAACTCCGGTCCCGAGTTCCCACGGGACAGAAGTGCCCAGACTGACTAGAGGGTTCACGCGGTGTCTAAGCCTATGTTTCCAGCAGTCACCATGGAGCCTTTTAAGGAACCGGCACACGTTTCACACGTGACTACATGGTCTCGAGGGAACAGGGCTTCTCCCTTGTTGGTGGGGCAAAATCGGAGAAGAACTCACTTCAGGTTCACTCCCCAAATGCTCCGAAGACGATCTGGGGTTGCCCGTGTGCACACGTGAAGGACTCCTGCGGGCGTGCCCGTCGCGACTCAGCAGGGATGGTCTGACTCCAATCCCTGGAAGCAGAGCTGACTAAACCACGGTTTCTAAGTGAAAACCGTGCATCGCTGTTTGCAGATTTTATGCTCTGCATTCATTCTGTAATGCCAAGTTCGGGTCTTCCACTGTGAGACATGAAAACCCGAAGGAGGCTGTAAGCTTCATTTCTGAGGGATTTTCCGTCAGCAGAGCTCATAGCTAAGGTTGGTTTTATTTATCTCCATGTTCTGGTCAGACGGCGCCTTAGTGTAAGTACCACAGTACTGTGAGGACGAGTCTGCATACCCTTCATGAGGGATCTAGTTAAATAATAAGCCTTTAAGTAAGATTAAAATGACAGAAGTTCGCATGTATTTTGCTATTAATTAGTACTTTTGTTTATATTGTTTGTCCATCCATGCCCCCATCTATGCATCCAACCATGCATTCATGCCTATCTACCCATCCATCCTCCCATCCCTCCATC